CGTAAAAAGTCGACGTCCGAGATAAAATACTCGACAAACTCTTTCTGGAAATCAAACACTTTTCCGCTCTGTTGTTCGTACCATTCGAAAAAAGCCTGTCGTCCACTGATAGACATTTCGTTCGGTTTGTAGTCATCTGCGGGTGGATAAGGCCCCACGTAATTCTGGTTCTGTTCCGTATTAAAAAAGTAGGGGAAATAGCCTGTCTTCAATTCGTTGAATCCGAAAGCCGAGGGCATCTTGGCCAATGCAAACGGTAAGAAATTATACGAGTCGATGAATTTCAGTCCGCAAATTTCAATGTACAAGATCTTACTGCCGTTCATGATGACGTTAGGTTTCATGGGGGGCGGAATGTACCAGGTGATTCAAAATGAACTGTCTGTCGTATCCTTTGAAGTTATGGGCGATGACGATGGCCTTGTCGTGTACATGTACTAACGTGGAATTCTTAGTACCTGTTGTGGGTTGTAATAACCAGTCCATGAACTTCTTTAAGGTCTCTGGTCCTTTAAATATGTGCTGACGGGGTCCCATGTGTTGAAAATGAGGACAGGGCTGGTGTATGTGTAAGTGACTGCAAAGTTGACAGACGCGGTGTGCCACACACAGATTAGGGATGTGGATGCCGGTTTCTTGAGTGCATTTAAAATCGAAATAGATGTAAAACTGTAAGGTGTCTTTCCCCTTCTTCTTCTTCTCGGGCTTCTGTTGAACGTAGCACTGATGATCGGCATCGACGATTTTCTTACAGATCTTACACTGTTTCTGTCCTCTGCACTTGTGATGAGAAAATAATTTCTTAGGTATTATTATTATATTTCTGACACTTCTCGCATAGTGCCATTACATTGCTGACACTGGTGGTCATTTTCTTGTTATGGGGTCTTAAATGATTTTCGTAGCAGGTCCTGTTCTTAAAAAATCCTTGGCATTGCTGACATTGAATGCGGCTACCATCTTCGGGACATTTGGGGTATCCTAAACAAAAATTACATCGGCGAGGGCACTGGTTCCGATGGTCTGTGACATGACTGTACCCCACATCGCAATGATCACAGTAATAGGGGTTCCCCGTTACTCCCGGCATGGATATGATAGCATCGCAATGCTCCTGGTCTAACAAAATGTTCAAATAAGTTCCATCTCCCCAGCCTTTGTAAATAGGCTCTAAACAGTCGATAGCGAGGAGCTAATACCTGTTGTAATTTCGTCCACTCTGCAGATCCACAAGCTTGATTGATATCACACTCGGCCTGTTCCATGAGGGCTATTGCTTGGTTCTTTTGATCTAAGGATTCCTTATCTCCTTTCCGCATACGTAGCCATTGTTTTTCCCATTCGGGGTCTGGATGTTCGGGTTTCTGACTGTGTAAACGGGTGACGACGATGGCTCTAGCCAAACAAAATTTATCCCGGGGATTGACGATCCGAACGATGGATTTTTTCATCTTCTTAAAACTCTCCATATTCACTTGTAAATGTTTCGTATTCTGTCCAAAACTGCCTTGTGGATAATTGACGTGAAACAGATTGAATTCCAGGGAGCCGTCGCCCAGTTTGAACTCCTTTTTGGATTGTTGCACGGCTTCTATTTTATCTAAAAATGAGGTCCTCGTTCAAATGTTTACATTGCGTAAACTCGTTCCAAATTTCTGAGTCCAAAGAATTGTGGCGTAGGTTCAGGCGCAGGTAATCGTTAGGATTACACTGCATTTCCGATTTGACCGTTTGTAACATGTCTCTGAATAATCGCCGAACGAATTCTCTGTTTTCCTCCTCTGGAAATTCTTTGAAATTAACGGTATAGATATTTTCCTGAACTTTAAATTTCTGGGATTGTATAGTTTTATCAAGTCTTACTAGATAATACTTGGAAATCTCCTTGGGTTTCGGTGGTGAATGAATAGGTGATTTTGGTCCCTCGTGCGCCCTAGTCCTTTGTTGATGCTGTAGTTGTCTTTGTTGCTGTTCTAGTAGAGCTCTTCTCTTTAATATTTCGGCATTTTTTTCTGGAGCTTAAATTCTTGCTTTCTTTTCTCATAAAGAATTCGATCTAATTCTCTCTCCCTTTTTTCCATTTCAATAATCTTTGATCATGTAACTGTTTTTCTCTAGTAGAATCCATGTCAACAGCTGATGGCTCTGACTTTAAAATGAGCTGTATTTATAGAGTGGATGACGTCTCAATAGGACGAAAAGAGGCCTCAAGGACTTTTTGCAGACATTTATAAAGTGTATATACATTGTCGCATCCCTTTACTACCTGAAGGAAAACAATCTCAAGAAAAAGGAGAGGGAAAAAACTAAGAAGACCGTGAAAGTCCAGAAGAAGCATTGACTTTTAATCTTACTTAAATAAAACAAATTAAAACTTTTAACCTTTTGTTTTTCTTATAATCAGCTGACAATCAGCTGTGTTTTTAAAGTGTCAAAATTAAGCAGCCAGCGAGGCTGTGAAGGACTAACATGACGTCATAATCACAAGGTGACGTCACAATCACAATCTTGACTCGCTGCCATATCGTAGTAGCAGCGTTGAATCGTAGTAGCAGCGTATAGTAACAAGAGGCCCATCGGCCACATCGCTCACCTGAGCACTGTGGCTAGGAAAAAGCAGAATTGGTTTATACTTGAAAAGCTTAAATCCAGAAGTAGTCTCAAGACAAATCAAGACTTTGCTATTCTTGAGAAGATTTTTAAAGAATTTTCCTATACATTTCTATGTAAAACTTTGGTCGGCCATTTTGGCCCCGTCCTACCCCCGGGGGTCATGATTTGTAAAAAAAAAAAAAACCTGAATCTACACTACCTGAGGATGCTTCCATATAAATATGATCAATTATGGCTTTGCCATTGTTGAGAAGAAGATTTTTAAAGAAATTTCCTATATATTTCTATGTAAAACTTTGGTCGGCCATTTTGGCCCCGCCCTACCCCCGGGGGTCATGATTTGAACAAACTTGAATCTACGCTACCTGAGGATGCTTCCATGTAAATATGATCAATTATGGATTTGCCATTCTTTAGTAGACGATTTTAAAAAAAAATTTCTATAAATTTCTATGTAAAACTTTGGTCGGCCATTTTGGCCCCGCCCTAACCCCGGGGGTCATGATTTGAAAAAAACTTGAATCTACACTACCTGAGGATACTTCCATATAAATATGATCAATTATGGCTTAGCCATTCTTGAGTAGAAGATTTTTAAAGAATTTTCCTATATATTTCTATGTAAAACTTTGGTCAGCCATTTTGGCCCCGCCCTACCCCCGGGGTTCTTGATTTTAACAATTTAATATCCACACTACCCAAGGATGCTTCCATATAAGTTTCAGCTTTTGAGGCCAAGTGGGTCTTGAGAAGAAGATTTTTAAAATATGTCACCAAATTTTCATTTATTCCTAATTATCTCCCCTTGAATGAGGGCATGGCCCTTCATTTGAACAAACTTGAATCCTCTTCACCCAAGTATACTTTGTGGCAAGCTTAGTTGAAATTGGCCCAGCGGTTTTTGAGAAGAAGTCGAAAGTGTGAAAAGTTTACAGACGGACAGACAGACAGACAGACAGACGGACGACGGACAAATTGTGATCAGAAAAGTTCACTTGAGCTTTCAGCTCAAATGAGTTAAAAAGCTATAATGTAAGCGCCCCGTATTGGACTTACAAGGATTGTGTACTGAGCTGACCCACCTAGCCCCCCAGGATTAGGGTTAGGGGCTAGGGGTTAGGGGTTAGGGTTAGGACTGTCCTGAGTTGACCTGGCTATCCCCACCCCACCCTTGGGTTAGGGTTAGTGTTAGGGGCTAGAGGTTAGGGGTTAGGTTTAGGGCTGTACTGAGTTGACCTGGCTATCCCCACCCCACCCTAGGGTGAGGGTTTGGGGTTAGGGTTAGGGTAAGGGCTATACTGTGTTGACCCACCTAGCCCCAGGGTTAGGGGTTAGGGTAAGGGTTAGGGCTGTACTCAGTTGACCCACCCAGCGGCTCAGCCAATCAGAATCCAATCCCCCAGCGGCTCAGCAAATCAGAATCCAACCCCCCAGCGGCTCATCCAATCAGAATCCTCCCCTATCCAGACGCCTTATACTACTAATATTGATATTGGAGTTATTATATATTTGAAGAAATAAAATTCAATAAGAAATACTTCGATAACAAATCTTCACACAGTTGCAATTATGATGTTGCCAAATTTTATAAAAGAATTTCTTCGTATTAATTTCAACCAAGATGGATTAATCAGATTCAAGCTTTCCTGTTTTTGATAACGTAATTACTAGTATCGAATCCATTTTAGGTATCTGCTGCTAAACACAAAACTAAATCATTAACGTATCAAAAAGTATTATTTCAAAAAAGAAATCTTAAAAGATAACCACTAAAGCATGCACTGTTCTTTTAATTTAAGAAATTGCAATGGCTAGACTTGATCATCACCAAGTCCTTAAGAAGTCATCATTCAAAAACTATTATAACATTTTTAAAGTGAAATCATTTCAAATGACTTAAAGTAACTGTAGTCGCTGATCGTATATCCTACTTTTCAAGACCCCATTACCCTAATTTCAAACATGAAAATAATTTTAGTAATTAGTACTTCTAGTAGGTATATTGCTTAAATATACACCAGTATCCCAAACATACTGTATTTCAAAGTCAGTTGCATATATATTGAGCGTATGCTTTTGCTTTGGAAGAATACAATGAAAAATATCTAATTGCTAAAGTTATCCAATATCTAATGATGTCAAGTTGTCAATTTTCATTTACTTGCTTCCTATTCATTTTGAATTTATTAATTATATGGTAAAGTAAAATGCGTAGAATATAATTGGAAATACTATATTGAATATGTACAAAGGCGTCGTTTAACTAGAGATTGTAAAATATACATTTTATGATATTGTTCGTGCTTGTCTTTTTAAAAATAAGATGCGGGTTTTCATAATTCATTTATGCAAAATTGATATCTTTTAATTTTTATTCCTAGTTTGAATCATTTCATCTGAGGACGAAAGAAGGGAAAATCTTACCGTTGCGGATATTTAAATGCAGAGTACTTAATGATGAATATGGGATTCCAACAGAGGATATTGAAGCAATTGTTCGAGGTCATGTTAAAAGCGGATACAAGGTTACGATTTTTATGATTAACTCAAAATGTTCATTAAATGTTAATCTGCCCCTTTTTTTAAAGAAACAATTTGATTTCTTTATTCTTTAAGATTTTTTTTAAATCCATGTTAAATCAGTAGCTTCCCCGGTTTATAAAGTTGGCGTACTCGGAGCATGTTTTTGAGTATTGAATGAATTTGAAGATGTAAAAACCATACGCATGTGATAGCGAAAATCACTACACAAATAAGAACTTTGATGATTGCAAAGCGGAGGTAATTTAGTTGACATACAATTCGATAGTTAGTTGGTCCTTATCGCTTAGAATCAGTAAACATCCAAATATGAAACAGATGTACTTCACACTCAGTAAATAACGGTGATAAATTATAGATCGATCCTGAAGCTCCTATCGAGGAAGAAGACCATGAATATAGAAAAAAGCCAAAAATTGAAGATCGCATGCACTGCGTTGTGTACGTCGACAGCGTTGAGAATCATTTCGAACAGCTGATGAATCGCAAGACTAAAGAACAACTACGACGTTTAAGGGAGAATCTAGCCATGCAGAGTAAGCTTTTACAAATATTTCTTTAAAACATCCACTTCAAAGCTTTAAACTTCCATCTGAGGAACAAAACAATATATTATTTTGTTAGATAGTTTGATAAAAACATATCTAACGTCACCTCAATTTATGGGAGATTTTTATCAAACGTTTTATACAATATTATCAATGCTTTACACTGATTATACATATATTATGGAATTTTTTCTGTCAAACATACAACTGGAAAAATATCATTAGCTGCAAGCTTTGTCATCACGGTATGTTAAAGAAGCAGGACATCTCGACTGAAAAAAAACAACAATTTAATTATTGTTCTACCATCAAGACCAAGAAGATCAATGAACAAGTTTGGGAACATCACTTGTTCATGATCGTAACTAAAGAACAGGTGCATTATATAAGTGAGATGTCTGGGCCTATTTTTTGCGTTTTAACAATTCCTTTTAATGGTAAGATAACACATTTACTCCTAAATAGGGTGCATAGAATATCATTTTTAAAATCTTATCCACATGATGTCACATTGGTTTCAGCGTGAATAGATCAAGTCTCAGATTTTTTTTTAATCAAAATAGTTTTTTGTAAAGAAAGTGATGAAAGAAATCTCCTACGTATTGTGGTTGTGTGTATATGTGAATATTTATCCAACCTGTTGTATGTTTTATACAGCCAAGGCTCAGGGATGAAAAATGCTCAAATTTGTAGATAAAAATTCAAAACTATCCACAAACCTCGGATTAGCAAAACATAAGGTATTTACAAAAATGTTATGATGACTCTTTTTTTGTATCTCGCGGCTTTTCATTTTACCCACAGCAATTTGTCGGTTGATTTGTTGTTGTGTGTTATACCAAAATACGCATTGTAGCTGAGGTTTGAAAAGAAGTACGAACGACAGTATTGTTCTCCCGCCTACCTCCAAGTCAATTTTCAAAAGTTAACATATTCGATGAATTTTTAATATTTTTTTATAGATATAATTATATGGATTTTCATAAAACATGACTAATTTGGGAAAACAAAGAGAGATAACTTTAAAATTTTGGTAAAACTTGTGTTTTTTACTATAGAAATTAATGGAAACGGAAATATATTAAAAACATCTTCCCACCCAACAACCCCCATCCCCACCCCGCGGGTGTCAAAAAAATTCTTTTTACAGGTAATATGGAATGTTATTTTACAAATTCATACCTAAGCTTTTTGTGTGACAAGGGGGGTAACATATGTTTATTGACAAAAAACGATGACGATGCTTATTTTCCACCAATCTCAAAGCGATTTACAACTTGAACATTATACTTCATTGATATATTTATGTTTTATTTATTTGCCTAAAACATAAGAAAAGGTAATATATCCAAGACTATTTCAAAATATGGTGGTGTATGAAAATCAGATCAAGTAATATTTTCTTAACAAAATATGTATTCTTTAATTAAATAAAATATTATTTACAGATATTCTATGGGCCAATAACTTGAATTTAATGTTTTCTTGACTATTTTATTAATAAATATTTTCTGTACATTACATATTTAATTAACACTGCTGTATATGTGTATGCAAGTACATCGGAGGGTAATGTGTGTGGGGGTCTTAATAAATCGATGTAGTGCAAGGGCATACACTCTTTGGATCAAAGTAAGCTTTTATATTTCAACTATAGAATTATGTAGGTATCTGAAAAGTGATGCGATCCTGATGAAATCTTAAAACAATTTAATTATATCAATATTTCATGCCGCCTACCAGCAAAACATATAGCATTCGGTCATACAAGTATAATTTTAACAATGAAATTGCAGAATTTAAACAGTATCGCAGCACTTTTTAGAAACTACAATGCATGTTGAAAATAGTTATATGCTAAACTTGGAAATTTAATAGGTTATTGCCTTGCACTAGTGATATTTATATGTAACATCAATACTACAAGTCAATGTGCTAAAATCGCATGACTGCTGCATCACGTGACTAGTCTATATATTAAATATAATCGTCCTCGATATGTAGTTATTAATCATAATTACAATTATCCGATATAAATAATGTACAAAAAATAATCGCCATCCAAATTACGAATACATTTTCAAATACACAATTTAGTCGATATTTCCATTGCTCAAGAACTACTCGGCCAGAAATGAGAAAAAGCTGTAGGGAATCAAAGTTTTACATAGAAATATATACATTTATATAGGAAAAAATTTTAAAAATCTTCTTCTCAAGAATGACTGGGCCAGAAAAGCTAAAACTTATGTGGAAGCATTCTGAGGTAGTCCAGATTCTAAATTGTTCAAATCATGACCCCCGGGGGTAGGGTGGAGCCACAATAGGGAATCAAAGTTTAAATTAGAAAATATATAGGAAAAGACTTTAAAATCTTCTTCTTAAGAACCACTGGGCCAGAAAAATTGAAACTTAAGTGGAAGCATTCTTAGGAATTGCAGATTCTAAATTCTTCAAATCATGACCCCCCGGGAGTAGGGTGGGGCACAATAGGGAATCAAAGTTTTACATAGAAATATGTAGGAAATACTTTAAAAATCTTCTTCACTGGAACTAGTGTACTGGGTCAGAAAAGCTGAAACATTTGTGTGTAATGTAGTTTTTAAATTGTCCACATAAAGACCAGTGTGGTAGGGTTGGGTCACAATATGTATTAAAAGGACGGAATTAAAAAAAAAACAGCATGGTCAGAGCTACTCAGGTAAGCGATGTGGCCTATGGGCTTTTAGTTAATAAGTACATTTTAGGTTTCAAATATGACAACCTAGGCAATAAATGTGAACATGACATCGTGACAACGAAAAACATGTTTTAAATGCCTCTTCTGCAATATTTCCATCAGCTTTTGAGATACACTGGACATTTTGTTTTATAATGGGAGAAATAAATTGTGAAAGAATCGATTGTCATAAAAGATTCGATTGTCATTTGGGAAACATTAAAACTGAAATTCTATTCGATTACATTTCTAGATATACCACAGATGGTTCTTTTCAATAAGGTTGATTTGCTTGGCATCTCAAACACACGGGATATCTTTCGGAGTCAGGTCGTCAGAGATATGTGTATCAAAGCTGCCGAGAACATGCAGATTCCACTAACAAATGTTTTTCCGATGTCCAACTATTTTAATGAAATTTTCCCAATACTGGAGAAGGACATCCTAGCCCTCTTCTATCTTCTGACCATGATGCAAACGGCTAATGACTTTATTAAGTCTTACCAAGGATGATGTGCCAGATGATTTTTACGATTAATTATTACAAAATCTACTTCCCCTTAGTTGCTCTCAAAGCTACTGCTTGATAAAAAGAACTCCTCTATTAACCAAAAAATGAGTAAATTAGGTTCGACAGCTAAATGCTTTTGAATGCAACAACGTTTAATTATACAATGCTTAAAATAGTTGTAGTCTGATAATATACTGTATAGGGGATTAATTTCACGGGTTGTAATTTTCACGTTTTTCTCTCATCTGACACTATCGCGGTTTCTTGAATTCGCGGAATTTGGTATGTAATAAAAGTTACTTCCCTTGTCTCCATTTAATCTATACCATAGCTACATGTAAACGAAATTAATCAGCGTTATGTTTTTATTTCACGAACAACAGGGTAAGTTATTATAAAATTGTTATATTTTTTAGATAAGTATTTAACACAAGTGCAATTATTAATAGTCTCTAAACGTCAAATGACTTTCCTATATGCTATTACCACGAGTGCATGTGCACCCAAGATCATAATACAACGCGGCGAAAAACCACTGGACGGAAATAAAAGTTTTTATGTAGTTCTACGAAATAATATCCTTCCACATCGTCAGTAAGTTCGATATTTATTTGAATGATTTTTTAAAGCCAAAATGTCGATAAAAACTGTACATGAACTAATATCCATGAGAATGCAGGTAACAAAACCACATGGTAACATTAGTTACGGAGGATTAATCAAAACCCATGGGCCACGTGTTTTGATTGATGAAACACGTTGGCTATTAAAACAGCTTTTGAACAAACACAAATTATTATCTGCCGATTTGAATTAGAGTAAAGCGTGATAATTAAAATTAATTGAGTGACATTACAACTCGCAATTACTGAAATGACCATGGACTGCACGTACACCTATACAAATCTATCGTAGTCTATTCACAAATTTCCAAATAAAACATGGAGATTATTGAAAATTTATTCACTGTTTCTTGAATTCACGGATTTGTTAACACCGTGAATATAGCGAATATTAACACCGTGAGTTATTTTCCCCCTATACAGTAGTCTAAGTCATCAGAATTACAAAACTTTGTAAATCGTATCTTTGTTTGACCTGCTTTAATAAAATGTAAATAATGTATAATGGCGTCTGAAAATTATCAAAGCTGATTAATAACTGGAATCTAAATGTACATTTTTTATTATCACAAGATAGCATGAACTGTTCTGTATGGAAAACTTAGCGCTACCCAATTGTGTGTTTTGTAAATAGCTTTTGAAGGTTTGTGTGCATGTATTAATTACTTCAATGCATATATACATGTATAATCCAGGAAAGAATATTTTACTCTAAAAGTAATGTTTATAATCTAGAAAAGGTTTCACACTAAAAGTAATCAATATTTAATATCCTTGAGTTTGTTGTGTATTTTATTGTTTAAAGGTTGTTTTTAATTTGGCAAACATTAGAAATGTAAATATTGATGTAAGAGGACCGTATTTTCCCAGAAGAAGCAAGGAATGGGAAAATCTTATACCTAGGCCTTTTGCTGAAACTCAAACCGATTTCATGCAATTTTGCCTTCATTCTGAAAAAGTACATGAGAAAATGATTTATGTTTTCTGTACTTGCCACATTTCCAAATTGTTCTTGAAGCTATTTAATCCAAAACATATTTATCAAAAAAAAAAACCAAAACAGCTTGTTGAAATGCTTATTTTTATGTTTTGTTTTTTTTTCTCATGTAGCTTAAGTATTAAAGGATATGCTTATGAAATATGTATTTCTGATAATAAAGTTAATGCGTCATAAAATTCTTTTGAATCACAGTTCTTATTGTAGAAACCATTTTGACTTTCCCCTCTATGACCTAAAATATTAAGTATGATTGTGTTTGCTTTGAAAGCTTAACTGTACTTCTGAGAACAATTATTGAACTAGCATACAGGATAAAGCTGAATTGATCTGATCCTTGGAAGAAACTAAGTACACTACATGTATATTTTATTTATGTGCACATGTTAAAGTACTTTGAATATGGGCACGGTTGCTTTGACCTTCATTTTTATTATCAACCAACAGCAATTTTAGTATATTATCTTAAATTTAAGTCCTTTGAGCTTCAACTATCAAAGTCTACTTTTAAATTTAAATAAAGTGGCAAAGATAAAATGAAATATGTCATCACCCCGCATACCGTAGTTCTCGTTCACAATATATAAACAATATATCATGAACAGGAAAAATCACAAGCCAGTAGAAAACTTGCAGCTGTTTACTCTACCTATGTCCAAAAATGTACTACAACTTGGCAACGTCAAACTGCGACTGCGAAAGATGTATTTAAAACAATTATCTAGATCCCTAAGTAACGCTCTGTAAGAACGGGAAATCTTTTCCTTCTTCGAAATATTTGTTTGAAAATCTGGTAAAAATTTTAGAATATTATAAGCTATGAAAGTGGGTGATTAAAAAATATTGACCACCAAATTGATTTTTTTTAAACCACTCATAACATATTTTTTCCACTTACATCATCATACTGTAAATACATTTTAGTTAAATTTCTGTTTTAATAGAAAAGAAAAATGGATAAAAAAAGTTTAGTAAAACCTTATTTGAAGAAAGGAAATATCACTACTTAAAAGACTTTCTATATTACATAATCAATAAAAATTATAGTTTTTATGCCTCAAATGAATACAGAGATATAAAGATTAAATCTAATCCATAATTGAGATTTTTTTCTCTTGGATATGTGATATTTTTTTTTATTCCGGTTAAATAGACTTTAATATGGAAGAAATACGATCGCGGTGCGCTACAGTTCCCCAAAACTCAAGTTTTCTTTTTTTAAAAAAAAGCAGGAAGACACGATTTCGTGTTAGACTTTCTAATCTTCATTAATCAATGATTATGTAACGTTTTCGGGTTCTTTTATGGGATTCGGCTGTTCTATCTGAACAATTAAAGAATAAATCAATTTTCTCAATCACAAATTTAAATTAATAGTATGTACAATTACTCCTTCGTTTCTTGGGAGCGCACGCGCCTTCCAAGGACTGAAGCGCGTCCGCTTCTTACCTTCAGTCAAACAAGAATATCAGGTACTTTATCTAAATAATATATAATCAATCAAAGTCTCGAAAGTCTATTTCAGACACATAAGACTTGATTCAAGGTATTCCTTGCAGTACCTACCACGTCTGACTTCTCTGTATACAACCGTCTTTCCAATTCGGCCGTCAGCAACAGACTGACTAAAACAACCGATTGTCTCCGTATTTATACCTACAACAGGTCACATGACCTGCGGAGAACCTAAAGGAAACAAGAAACCGGAAGTCAGTGCAACTACCGAGAAATGAAAGGATAATATGATCTCGATTACAGTTTTGCTTCACTACCCACGCCTCCAGGAAATGCGTCTCGCATTCCTCAATAAAGAAAAACTAAAGGCGTACAATATTACATATGTTCATTATTATTTACACCATGAAACAATCTTCTTGACTGACTTTGCGCAGGTCCAATAAACATTAGAACACACTAAGCTCTCTGCTTAAATTTACAATGTTATTTGCCATATCTACAGTTTTGACCATTAAAACCAGAGTTCTTCTTCATGGGTCTCTACTACATTTTTTCCGTCCTTTTGATATGTTTCCTGACACCGATCCAAACGTCTTCTCTTGGTCACTTCGGTCTGAGTGGCCTCTGTCATCTGCTCTGTTGGAAGAGTCTGTGTACCTTTGTCGACACCAACTGAACGGATGGAATCCTCGACACTACAATCCTGGACATCAGTCGACGAAGCCGCTGATACTGTTGCCGAAGGGGCTGTATGTTCTTTAACAGTCGTCATGGGATGCTGGAAAGTAGCAGGAGCAACAGGAATTAAAGAACGTTTGCTCAATAAGCTCTTGACTTTTGGAGTGTGTACAGGAGTCGGTCTTGTTGGTTTCCTCTGCGTCACTTCGGAAGAAGGAAGGGAAGTCCCAGCCGCTGTGGCTTCACCAACAACATCTGATAGATTCCCGGGATCCAACTGCTCCCAATCACTCTCGCTGTCAACCTGAGCGAATCCACCATGTCGAGTTTTACAATGTCTGACCATATCGCTCTTCTTATTTGTAGCATAGTCACAATGACTGCATTCAAACCGTTTCTGTCTGCGCTTCCTCCCACACTCAAGTACATGTTTCTCCCACTCTGATTCTTCACCGAATCTCTGAGAACACATAGGACAAAGGTGACCCTCTTTTCTTTTAGTGGTCTTGGTGTTTGCCATGATCTGCAAAAATCACAAAAACAAAATCCTGAGTATAAAAATATTTTAAAAACTAAACATATAATGAAATTGCTGTACACTAATCTATACTTGTACTGACAGCTTATAATTTGTATTCAACAATGAAGTCGTCATGCCACGCAGGTGCATTTCTAATGCGCCTTGGCCTATCTGAAGCACAAATGCTAGGGTTTTCAGCAATATCATACTGATCTTCATTTTCTTCTACAAGACACTCTTGAGTATCATCTGCATTGTTTTGACTCTCGAAATTACTGATATCATTCTCTCTTTGAAGTATCTGTGACTTACACTTCCGCAAGCGATCACAGTGAATGATAGTGCTTTTGCCTTTTGTTCCGCATGCAACCTTATATAAAACATCTGACAATTTGTCTTCAATTAAGAAAGGCCCTCTCCAAAACGATGTTAACTTCGGAGAACAACCGCTCTTTCTGGCAGGGAAAAATACATAAACTCTTTCTCCGGGACTAAAGGATGACCATGCTAGTTTGGTATCATGGTACCTTTTCTGGCGCTGCATTTCACCTTGCATGTTTTCTCTGACCAACTTATGAGCTGACTCTAATCGTTCGCGTAACACCCAAACCCATTGACTTGTTGGAATATCCTTAATATCTGGGGGCATTTCATACATCAACTCTAATGGTGTAGTGGCTTCGCGCCCCAGCATCAGCATGTTTGGCGAGAAATTGGTGGTGTCATGTTCTGTAGAAC